TATTTTAGAAATGCCAAAAAAAAACCAATCATCTGAAAATACCACAATCATCTGAAAATTAACGAAGGTTTCCAACTGTTAAACCATCGTCCGAGAATACCACAATTATCTCACGTTCAAAGACAAACTAACAATTCCAAGTAAAAAAAATAAAGTACAAGTATAACAAACTGATAGTCCAAGGACAACAATTTAGAAATTCCACAATCCACTAAGGGTCTAAGGGGCCGCTCCGACATACTGGTCATACAATTCGTGAACCACACTCATCATATCGTAATACTCAGATGCGTGCTCCAAATAGTGATTCTTGTCCCTCACATGCAACACGGGACCAAGCCTGTCCACAATATGCTTCTTCAACTGGAAATACAAAAATAATTTCTGATAATTGTTTACAATTTCATATCATTTTCTATAATTTTACCATTATTTTAAAATTTTCAAATTATTTTTTGATAATTTCTTAACGTTATTTACAATTTTCATTGTTTGGCTACTATTTTTTTCTTCCTAATTTCTTATACTTATTAACACTAATTACAAATTTACAGATTATATTTTATAAAATTTAATACTTTTTAAAAATTTTCAGATAATTCCTAGTAATTTTTTAACATTATTCAAAATATTATATAGATAATTAAAATCATATAAATAATTAGGATATAATTTTTTATAATTAATTATAAATTGTAAAATTATTTATATTTAATTAAAATTTATTTCTATTACATAATTTCAATATTTAATAACAATTTTTATTAATTGACCGTGGGCAAACCAAAAATTGATCGAGGTCTGACCGTGGGCCAATCAAACGTTGACAGCGGTTTGACCGCGTGCCAAACGAAAGTTGATCGCCGCGAGTCAAATGAACGTTGACCGTGGTTTGACCGCGAGTCAAACGATCATCCCGGGTGGTTGTTAGACAGACGACGAGAGGATGGATCGCGACGAGAAGACACGCGACTCCCGACTGATGTGGAGGTGTTGGACTTGAGACGCCACTGGAGGAGCGGCGGACGGCACAGCGAACGATGAGTGGAGCAGCGGCGGCCGACGATGCAAATTCCGGCGTGGGGACGGTGGTTCGAACTTCGACGTGGGGGCGACCGTCTTTACTAGCTGGCAGAGAAGAGGTCGAGTTGGGGAAGGGTTTGGAAGGGTGAGAGGTTTTTTTGTTTTGTATTTGATTTTGAAATTCAAAATGGATAATTTGATAAATTACGTATTAAGTTAAGACGATAAATAATAATTTGTAGGACCAACATTAACCATTCAATTTTTTAAACCCCTCTAGCCAAAAAAGAAGTAGAAAGATAATACAGAAAGATGGTTTTGGGAGTGTGGGTCCCAGAATATAGGGGCAAGTGGGACCCTTGGGTTGCTATCTCTCTCACCATTTGTGGGGTACCTAACCACTCCAAATGTGGCAAAAGAATCATGCAAGCACAGTCTGTAATTAGAATACAGAGCCATGCAAACTTGCCGTTTCCAGAGACCCTCTCTTTCTCTCTTTTCTTCCCCCCCTGACCTCTCTTGCCATTTGTGCTCGATAACGCCTTCTTTCTTTCTTTCTTTCTTTCTTTCTTTCTAGGAGACGCCCTTTCTCTCTCCCTCTCGCTATAAACCCTTTTATCTTCCTCTATATTTAGCACTACCAAATAGAGCCAATTTCCATTTATCTCTATACCCAGGGAAAGCAAAGTTCTCTACTTTCCCCCCTTTTCTATTTACAACCCTCCTCTCCCGGTTTTCTCTATGTTCTTAAATATTGGATGATTTTGAGGGGGCTTTGAAGAGGAAAAGTTACAGTCTTTTTTATGTTCTCTATTGTAGGGGGTGTTTTCTTTTTTGTGTGGAATCCGCTGGGTTTTTCAGGGGTTTGAGGAAAATGGGGAGAGGGAAGATTGAGATCAAAAGGATTGAGAATGCAAATAGCAGGCAAGTCACCTTCTCCAAGAGGAGAACTGGGTTGCTGAAAAAAGCTCAGGAGCTTGCCATCCTCTGTGATGCTGAGGTTGCTGTCATCATCTTCTCAAATACTGGAAAGCTCTTTGAGTTCTCCAGCTCTGGGTAGGTTCTTAAGTTTTGCCATCCCCTTCTTTCCTTTTCTCTTTCCAGTTTGGCCCTAAAAAAGGAAAAAGTTGCTTGCTTTTTGCCATGGAACATGAACTTCTTTGGGTGCCTGCATGTCTCAATGTGGGTAAATTGGTCTTGAATGGGGATAGAGTTTTCAGTTATTTTGTCATGAACCGAAGTCCATTATGTTTAGAGTTTTGGTTTTGTTCTTTTTAAATTGTTATTCTTCTTCTGTTGAGGGAGTTGGACATGACATATGACCATTGCATGCTGCTGGTGTCTGGCATTGGTAGACAAAGATAGAAGATGAGATTGGTTAATGTATTTTATATTTTCTTTCTTGTCTTTGTTTTCCCGACTAGAAACTTAAATTAAGAAATTTTCCAACTATGTTCCTTTCCTCCTCTTGTATTTGGTCCTAATTTGATGCTGGCTCCATAGCCAGGGTTTTGGAATTTGCAGCAGGTGGTGCTCTTTGCATGTGGCCCTCTGATTATGAATATTTCGGAATGAAGGGGTTTAATTATTTCCTTCCCTTGTGCCCCCTTTTCCCCTTGCCCTCTTTTCAGCTGTTCACCCTTCCTTTACTGGAAACTATTCATTTTGTTGTTTTGGGTTTGTGTGGAAATGGATCGCTGTAATCTGTCTGAGCATCAATGTTCTGATATGGCTCTTTCTGCTTACTTCTTTTCCCTGGCAATTGATTAAATGCCTGGAAAGGAATGCGCATTATAATACTACTGTGCAAGTGCAAAATCTCATATTGGGTCTGGCCTTTGTCAGTCAGTCGGTTTCCTTTGGATGTGGCTTAGATGCGTATTCTCTATTTTCCTTCGATAGTCTTAGTTTTGGCCTTCCCCCATTCTCAACTTTGCATCTCAAGTGGACTGACATTCTTGTTTTTGCTAACAATTTCTTTCTTCCTTCTGGTGGCCTGCTTTCCTAAAACAACTACCAAAGCTCTTCCAAGAAGCGTTGTGAGATTTTTGAAGGATTAGAAATGTAGGCTGTTTGTTCCAAGGGAAGAATTCTAAGATGTGCTTCCGCCTTTAGCAGTAATTCACATGCTGAAGCTACAATCCGAGATGACTAATTTATTTGCCCTGCCATCTCATAGATCAATATAATGCAAAATTGATTGAGTTGTCTGGAACTGACTGACTGATCTGTCCTTTTCTTTTTGAAGCATGAAGAGAACGCTTACTAGGTATTACAAGTGTATGGATTCATCAGAGCCTACGAAACTCGAACAACAGAAAACAGAGGTAACCTGTTCGCTTGGACTAACTATTAGCATGTCGATTACAATAAGAATATTGTGTCGTTATGTTTGTTCGATTTTCTATCTATGATCTCCAGATCCAAGTACGGAGCACCATTCCCAACTGCACATTTCTCCCCGAGAAACCGGATTTAAAGGAATTGGATATTCTCAAAGACGAGATTGCAAAGTTACAAGTGAAACAGCTGTATGCATTCTCTCTGACTCTCTAAGTTGATACACTTAATACACCAGTTTAGGGGGTCACTCTATTGGAAACTAAAGCACGTACATCTCTCTGTGGGTCATGTTTCTCTAGGAGGCTCTTGGGGAAGGACTTGAATGGCTTGAGCTTGAAAGAGTTGCAGCAACTAGAACAGCAACTATCCGATGGCTTGTTATGTGTGAAAGATAAAAAGGTTTAACTATAGCTATGCATCAAAGGTTCTCTTAATTGTCAAGTGTCAGGCGTCGTAGCTTTTAGATTTTGGCTTCCTAAATGCATAGAGAAGTTCATCTTGTTTCAGGAGAAACTGCTGATGGAGCAACTTGAGCTGTCAAGAGTTCAGGTAAACTTCAATCTTTGAAACCCATTCACAGGTCATCAGAACGTGAACTGGCTGATCCAAACTGATGAGCCTGCTCAAATTTTGATCTGCTTTCTCAGGAACAACGGGCAGTGCTAGAGAATGAGACTTTGCGCAGACAGGTAAGTTATACTTTGCATAATCCAAAATGAGTATGAAGCTTGTTAATCCTCCACGCCTGACTCTCAGAAAAGAAGACTGCCTTATTTTTCCCCGTGTTGTGCCAAAAGGTTGAGGAGCTTCAAGGTTTGTTCCCATGTGGTAATCGATTGGCACCGAGTTACCTTGAATTCCAATCAGTGGAACAAAAGAACTCCAGCATAACCAATGGCTGCAGAAGCCCTGATGTTGCATATAACTGCTCAACTGAGAGGGGAGATTCAGACACCACCTTGCATTTAGGGTAACTTCTCTTTTGTCCGTGGAAAGAGCTTCTATTTCTGTCTGTCATGGAACCTGACTTGGTCTTTCTTACATGTTTGCTTGTATTTCATTTGCTTTCTCAGGCTTCCAAACGATGTTTACCACCGCAAGAGGAAGGCACCTGAGACAGAAAGCTGCTCAAATGAATCGGAGAGCCGATTGGGCCTTGTGTAGCTTAAATTGGCAAATGTCTGTGCTTCCTTGTTAATAGAAACAGACCGAAGCAGGAAATGCAGTGAGCATTGCTAACTCTCTAGTAGTTTCTCTCTAGCGGTAAGCAATTCAGAGAGGGTGATGAATTGTTTATAGAAGAACGTAGTAACGTCCCCTTTTTGTAGGAAACATCCCAAAGTTTCAAAGGGTTGGAGGGGAAGTCGTGTTAGTTAGCTGTGAAACCTTTCTCGGATAGGATAGGAGAAGTTGGTAGTAATTTGATCATCTGCTAGTCCAGTTCAGTTTCTTGTTATTCCCCCAGACAGATTTAATTCAGAATGGCTTATTTCTATTTTCTACTGTGAACTCTTCTTCACTCTTTGCTGCTAAAATATGCTAATTTCTATTCTTTATATGCTCCAGCTCCACTAAATTCCTGCTTAATTTCATGGAAAACTGAACAGAACATACTCGGGCAAACTAAGATTGAGAGCAACAAACCAATTATATTACAGATACATGCATACACTGTCGATCCCATTTACAAATAAGTCTAATTATGTAATGTAACACACAAAATTCTGTACAAACAATTTGCAAACGAAGAAGTTATTAAAAAACCTAAGCAGATGAGTCTAACTATGTAATTGATCCTAAATTCAAACCCAACTAATACTGCTCCCCATGACGAAAACGGCGAAGCAGTTCATTCCTTCCAACCAAGATTTCAGAGAAAAGCCGATCCACATCCTTTCTCAACCCATCAAGCAGCTTCTCAAACACCTCAAGCTTCCTCTCCATCTCCTCTGCTGCCACTCCACATCCTCCCCTGTTCGATGAAATCTCAGCTGCAACTTTAACAGCCGACTCTTTGAGATCCCTAACCTCTTTCGCGACGATCCCTTTCTCCATGGCGATCCCCGATACAACCGAGTCAACGCTTGCCAAAACAGCCACGGAAATCGGCCTCCTGGTTTCCAGGTAAGCTTTAGCATCTCCACTCAAACAAGCAACAAGGATGGAAGTAACCCAGAAGCCAACGGTCTTCATCTCCATCAGGGCTTCGTGGATTATCGCCTCTCTCTCGCACAAAGATGCAACTTTTCCATCTACATCCCCATTTTCCTCGCGATATGTGACCTTGTTGCACGAACTCGACAGCTGGGTTGTCTTGAGCCGATCCAGGGCCGAAGAAGGCGAGCCGTCGATGAGAGCCAGAGCGTGAGCGAAAGAGAGCCGGGACTGACCCAATGAGGATAGTGACGAGCTGATGGAATTGAGGAGGTCCAGCAGGCTCAAGCTCTGGTTAAGGTATTCGCGGACGGATCCTTGTGCCCATTTGCTCATGGGATGGTCCAGATCCATCACCAGCTTGGCGAAGGCCTTGTTGACCACAGGTAACAACTCGAAACAGTTGTGAACCCATTGAAGGGAGATTTCGAGCCCTGGTTTTGGGGTTAGCAGCAATTTGGTGAAAGAGCTGGAGACTTGTGATCGGAAAGACTGGAGAGCGGTCCGTAACGCCTCTGGCGGCGGCGGATCATCCCGCTGCTGCTGCTTGTGATGATGGTAGTGATTCTCCAGCTTAGAATAGAGCTTGTTGATCTTCTGAATCAATAGTACCATTTGAGACAGAGGTGAGATCAAGATGAAGAAGAGGATTTGGTAAGGAAATAAAGAGGGTTGGAGATTAGGTTTGATTCGGGTGTTTTATATTGTTGTAGTTGACAAGTTGGTGTCTTGTCAAGCTTTTTCGTGTGCGCGAATTAATGGCGGAAACAAGTAGCCCATTGGTCCCACTGGCCGCGGGTTTGAAGGTTGAGGAAAAAACAGGGGAACAGAGAAAACCAACAATGATGGGTCAGAGTCAGAGTTTGCAAATTGTGACCTTGTTCTTTCTTCCTGCCCTTTTCCTTTGTATATCCATTTGGATAAGGTTAAGTTTATTACGGTTTGATCAACACTCGATATGCTTCTATTGTAAGGGAAAAAAAAAAAAATCTACGAGAAATGAGCTATGTCATTTTGGTCACAAGTCACAACATAGTATGCTGCAAAATCTTTAATAGTTTGTAGGGCAAATACAAATACAACACTCGAATTATCGAAAAAGTGTCAACTAATATTCCAATTTATGTTCTAAACTATGATACTTTGTGCCATTTGTATCTAGGCGATTTTGTTGACTGTTAGATATAACGGTTGACTTGTCAGTTTTGAAAACGAAGTTAGATTGGGGCCGACGTTGCAACAACATGGCAGACACAATGATGCGACATCATTTTGTGATACAAAATTAGTTTTGAAAGATAAATAAAAAAGTCAAAATTCATCTTCTTCACCCATCACGAGTTCTTCTCCCACCGGCGCCAGTTTAATTGCCACCTCCCACCCGTTGCCGATCCATTCCCCACCCATCACCACCTGCACCAGTTCTCTCCACTACCCTGGCCCCAATTATACCCCAACTCAACTCAACTCCACAACACAGAAGAAACAACAAAAAGCAACATTTCTATGGCTATGAACACATCGCCATCCCCTCCATAATCTTCATCGGCGAGAACTAGCCCCAGAAGAATGAAGAGCAACCAATGCATCCCCATGATAAGAGCCACCGCCTCCGTCAATACGTACCACATCTCTCTTATTTCCCTCCTCGAGCGTTTCTGGGAAGCCGTATTCCGCCTTATGATGATCTCCGCACAAGGAATTTGGAGTCTTTCTTAGTGATTAGAATTGGAAATTGATTTGAAGAGTTCCTGTAACACCCCGGTAATTTAGATTTCGGTTCCACCATAATAAATGATCGGTTGAATTGACGGTTACGTACGAATAATAATAACTATTATATTATTATATCTATATAAGAGTGGAGAGTCACTCGTCCCCCTGTTTAATTTCCCCACGGCTCCATTATTATTCTCCAGGGAACCCTCCCCCTACAAATAAACCCCAACTCTCATGCTCAATGCATCCGTTCCTTGTTGCTACTTCCGCAGCGAGTGAAGAAGCAAAGTAGCGAAGGGCGAGAAGAAAAAAGGGAAGAATCGCTCTTGGTGCCCCAACCCCGATTCCCCTGCCCATCTCTCTTGTGTCCCCAGGTAAGAATCGCTAATCCTTTCACTATTTCCAAACTCGATTCATCGATAGTCTAATAAGAAACTCGTATTTTTGTATTACATTGGTCGTGGGGACGTTTGAAGGTTCGAAACATCGATCGACGAGGAAATCACGTCCAAGGTCGTCGAGTCTGAACCTTGGCACGTTCTAGAGGTAAGAGAACTCGATCTCTTCGGGCTAGAATGGCTGATTTGGGAATTTTTCGTGGAGTTAATTGCATGGTTGGTCATTGAGATTACAAAAAACGTTTATGTTTGGTCACTGGAAATATTTAAACTCATTATTGGTCACTCAAATTAGTTAAATGGTTCAAGTTTGGTCACTCTCCGTCCATCTCCGTTAAATTAGTCTGATGTGGCAGTCTACCCTCAAAATTGACCGTTAACTCAATGACGTGGCAATTAAAAAATAATAAATAAAATAAATTTTAACTTTCTACTATTTTCAACTCATTTTCACAATAAAGTAAAATAAATAAAATAAATAATATTATAATTACAAATTGAAAAGCCTTCCCCGCAACCAAACCAGCATCCAATTCCCATCCTAGCTCCGCCCGCTGTCGCCGTCCCCGCCGCTCCCCGGCCATAATCACCTGCACCTCCTCCACCCTCGACCCTGCCCCTTCCTCCAACTCCGTCAACGCGCAGTAGGCAGATACGCGCAGCCGACCCCAAGACGCGCAGTAGACTGAGAGCTCTTATCCTCACCATTCATGGCCTCCCTATCCTTAGCATCCCTCTGCCTTATCCTACCACCACTACCCCTATCCTCCATTTCTCCCTGCCGCCATATATATATATGCAACAAGTCCAATACAATCAGCCTGCCACTTTCAGCACCGAGAAACTCCCTAATTCCAGCGAAGAAGCCTAAGCATGCCGGATTTCGGTTTACTCCGACGCAAATACGAAAGACGAGCAGAGATCTCAAAACGCTATGGCGCAAAGCAACTTCGAACCCGATAACAGTAACGAATAAAGTAAACGAGGGAACAAAGAATCAATTCAGATCTACCAAGCTAGCAGAGAACTAGAAGCTTCCCTAGTAAAATCCAAGAATGAAGAAAAGACATGAATACGAAAGCAAAACCCTAGGGGGCTGAATTGAGAGTTGAGACCGCACAAGGAGTGGGGATAAAAGCCAGCGGTAACAGAGGGATGAGAATGAAGATGGCGGATCTCGACTGAGATCGAGAGGGATTGATTGATTGACCGATTGGACAAGAGAAGCTACGGGATTGGATTTTCAGTACTGGATGGAGGCCATGAATGGTGGGGAAGAGGAAGCCATCTTTTTCAATTTGTAACTATAATAATTTTTTTGTTTTATTTATTTTACTTTCTTGTGAAAATGAGTTAAAAATGACAGGGGATTTAAATTTATTTAATTTATTATTTTTTAATTGCCACGTCACTGAGTTAACGGTAAACTTTGAGGGTTGACTGCCACATCATACAAATGTAACGGAGTTGGACGGAGAGTGACCAAACTTGAACCATTTAATAAATTTGAGTGACCAAAATTGGATTTAAATATTTCCAGTGACCAAATATGAACGTTTTTTGTAATCTTAGTGACCAACCATACAATTAACCCATTTTTCGTGAGAGTGTAATTTTGGGTTCTAGCGACGGAATTTACAGGCTTTTAGTGACAGATCTTGGGTGGTCAATAAAGGTGCAGAGAATTTCTAGAAACGTGTTTTAAGATGTGTAAATTTTTTGGAGCCACTTCAGGTCGTATTTTCTGGGTTTAACAATTTTATAAATTGATGGAGGGATAGGAAATGCATGCAATTTAATTTGGAAATTTTTGAAGATGAATTGCTATTTTTAGAAATTGGTCAAATGTCGATTTTAATTAAATCAAATATCATGTGGAGGTTGTTTTAAGGGTTTGATAATTTTCCAGGATATATGTTCTCATGATTGACATGGAAATATTATAATCTGATTTTTGTAGGAAGTTCAAGTTAGGTGAAAAATTCATCCAAGGCGAAATTAATTAGGAAAAAGGATTGGTTTTGAAGGGATTATTTATAGAAAATTTTTAAAGGAGGTTACGAGATATTTGGAGTGAGGTTCGAGGACTGAATTTTGAGGAGAGGACGTTCTAGTAATTCAAAAGGGGTTTTAAATCAAGAAAGGTCGACTAAGAAAATGAGTTTCTTATTAATAGGTTTCCCAAGTAAGGAATCAAGGAGTCATCGTTTCAATGAGAGTGTAGGTCTTTCGGTTTCTGCCTTTAGTTATGTAATTTCGTTAATTTTGAGTTATGCAGGATTATGTGAGTGAGGCATCCCTCCGCCTACCTAAGGAGGAGGCACGCATTGTGCTTTTGTATGAATGAATGTATATTGCAATGTATGGATAAGGTTAAGCAATGAACCCCCGGGCGGTTGGGCCACTACGGGGTGCGGTAGATGGTCGGGTCACTACTAGACGACGATACGTAACGCAATAGTTGACCGTGCATGGACTGGACGGTGATACATAACATAGTACCATTGCGTTGAGGATAGGGACACCGGACGACGATACGTATCGTCATGAACCCTAGTAATAAGTATATGAGTTAAGATAGAAGTAGAGAACTTCTATAAGCTATTAAGGACTAAAGTGTGAAGGATGAAAGTGAGAACGACTTTCATGTAAGATATGAATGTTCTAATAATGTGTTAGTAAGGGTTTGCTTAGGCAAAGACCTTAGAAAGTAACGACGAGACTGACCCCTTCTCGCTCACCAGGTGTGGAAAGGGGAAGAGGGTGTAACCAACACGAGAAGATTAGTCAAGGAGGTCAGTCGCATCAAGCTTGAGGATGTCGGAAGGATCAAGGAAATGAGATGAGTCACCTTTAATCATAATTGTCTTTATTTTTCGTGTCTTATGAGTATACTGGGAAACTCAAGGTTTGCGTTTAAGTGTTGGGATTGAGATTTTGCCCTAGTGTTAAGGGCTTTCGTTTGAGATTTCTGAATGTCACTGGGGGATGATTTTCGATTTAACTTTAAAGTGTGGTTTGGCTTGCTCCGGAGTAACCGATCTTTGTTTTAAATTGTGATTTTATTTGTCGAAAAAGATCGGGTTGTTTCAGTTCCCACTTCCCACTCATTCTCGGTCCTTTTTCTTTTGTAGAGGGAAATTGATTTGGAGTCTAAGCTCATCCCACCTCCATCGTCGCCATTTTGTAGAATGTTCATGCTTCAAGGTAGGGAAAGAAGGGGGTTGTTTGATTGGGATACAGAGAAGGAAACCACAAAAAATGCTAGCGCCTGTGGAAGTCGGATAAGCGGCAGAAGAAGACTTTTGATGTTGGGTTCATGCTTCTGGGAGTGATGGTTGAAGAATGGTCGTTTGCCGAGGGAGGGAGGGTGACCGACGGGGATGCACCCGCCACTAAGATTAGATGGGAGAGGGAAGGGGAGAGAGGGCCGAGATTTTTTCATTTTTTCATTTTAATTATGTTATCAAATAAAAATTGAATTTATAATTCCATGTCAGATGTCATGTCAACACTGACTGGATTTTTTGTTAAATACTAACGGTCAACACTGGT